GAGATGCTTAGGGATGAATGGCTCGATCACTACTTTTGTTTCTTTGTATCCACGGTAAACATATATATGGACATAGCATAACTACATGGCTCGAGTGAACCTCCAGTATAGATCGGTCCCCATCCTTGCTTCAGATCGTGGCTGACTAATATTGATTCTGATGACAGACGGTAACTGGGACTACAGACCAATAGGCACGTATAAGTTCTACGGTCGTATGAGTTAATACAATTCAATAATATCCTGTCACATATCCATAGTATGGCTACTTCAACCTTCCACAGGATTATGTCTCTGGTACTTTGCATAGCTACAGTCTTTGCTTTCACCATAAACCCCACTATTTTGAGTTTTCTTCTCTCACTCACGACTCCTCGTATGATACCTAGTACCATTAATTATGCGGAGATACCCATTGAATCTACCGCCTTATGCTTTTTACCTCATCGGTCCCAATGCCAAAGTTTAATCTCATCTGACAACACAGCATAGTTACTCTTATGTAGAACTTCATGAAAATTAGCTATCGCTGAATAGGCTCTGGTTACAAGACCGTATGTTATATTACTCAGCCATAAGTCCTACAAATGGATAAATAATACTGACCAAGATAATCTAATATAATAGCAAATGATGGAATATATCATCAAATAAATCTCGGAATAACTAAGAAATTGAGGAAATTAATCTTGGTAAAATTTGAACAATAAATTCCATTAAGATAGTACTTACAGAGGAATAAACTCATCGTGCGAAAGACTCTTTGCAGTCATGATTGAAAACAAACAAAGGGACTTTGATAAGACCAGGCAGGCGGGATCCACATTCAATGAAGAGTCTTTGATATATACACACTGTATATTCAATCACGTTTATACAAAGAAACAAATAGTGATGAGCCATTCATCTCTAGCATCTCAGGCAACAAGATCTTCTATGTAATAGATCACTTGCAAGCTAATCAGGATGATGTTTGTAGGGAAAAACCTAGAGACTTAGTAATTGAGGTGTGTGCCGCTTTAATAAAATCACGATGCTTACCCTATGACATTTAAGGAGAACAAACCAATTAAAATTGACATTGTATAAAATGCAAAGATAAGCTTCATTAAAAAAAAAAAACAAATTTCAAATGTTCCAAATACTTCAATTCCATTTGATTCAATCTTGTTGCACATTTATCACAGATTGATTGCATTTGAAACAGTGCATTTATAGAATTGTTGTTGTCGTTGTCGTCGTCTCTACGTTTGCTCGAGTTGAATTTCAGATCCTCTACTTTTGAAAATATATATGTACATATTTTATCATGGTAGCTAGTCATGGATTGACATTACCACATTGACATTTTCGCTTTTTCCATTGACGATGGTGACATGTAGAGCTATAGTCATATCAGAGAAAAATGATGGACATTTGACTAACTCAATTGTTATCATGCATATATATATATGTATATATGTATATACACGGACACAATAACCTCTGCATAACAAGTCTTTGGCAATAATATAGGTTCTCTTGGCTTTTTGACATTTTGGAATTGTGTACATTTGACTGATGCATACATAACACATCCTATAAGAAAACTTTTTGGGCACTGTTTGTTCTTGGTCATGATTGGTAATATACATAACATGCTTACAATTCCTATTTTGGAAATTAAATTTGAAGGCTCATCTTTGTGTTTGTTTGTTTGTTTTTTTTTTTTTTTGAATCTGCAGTGGCCACGGAAGCTTTTCCGATGACTCTTTGTTGAACAGTGTTGTTGGACATCCCCTGCATTCGTCAATTCTTGTGCCTTATCATGGATGGTGTGTTCTTGATCTTAACTCTTTGATTCTGATATTTGTATATCAGTCTAGATTGAGTTTGTGAAGAAATGGTGTTTGTGCATATGACTGATATATAATTACAGGAGAATTAGCCATAGAACTCACCATCAGAATCATGGACATGTTGAAAATGATGAATCATGGGTATTGGTAATACTTCTATAATTTTCCCTCTTTGCTCATCTTTTTCTGTCCAGTTTACTGATGCCAATGGACATCACCATTCTCATATTTTTAATCTTCTGAAAACAATAATCTTCTTTGGTCCATTTTGAACATGATACATGTATGATTATTTGTTACATGTATGATTATTTCAGTTTTTAGAACGACTTTAAACAGTAAATTGGGGCATCGTTGACGGAACACAAAGACTCCGATTGTCGTTGTCTCTGGCTCTAAAAGTAGTCCACTATCATGACTTGTAAGACCCACCAACCATCTATATATATGTGTATGTATATATGCTAAAAGGGTTTATTGTTGTTGAATTTGTAAATTTGAATTGAAGGGCAGTTTGGAAGAAGTCCATGGGAGAGGGAGAGGGAGAGGGAGAGAGAGATGAATGTCAAGATCATCAGACCCCTTTGGTTGATTCTTCCATCGACAGAACTGGTTTGTCTTTCTTTCACTTTCTTTCTCTTCCCTTGTTTTTTTTTTTTTCTTTTTCTGACAGTAACCATGAATTTTACATTTGGTGATCTAATAAACCAATGATTTTTTATCCACAAGAATTTTCAAGAAAGTATATAATGTAAGTGTTTATAGCCGTGCTGGGGACCCTCGGTGGGGGGTGACTCCCAGCACCCCCACCTCCATGTGGGAGGCTGTGGACCAAGAAAAAAAAAATTATCCACCAATCACACCCCACTGGGGGCCCTGGGGGTCACCCCCAGTGGGGGTCTGCCTCTTTTTCCAAGTGTTTAATGCCCAAAAGTCAAAATTTTCCACACCCACTTTTTTACACAGCATCATCAATTCTCCAGCCCTTAAATATCAGGACACAATATATATAAACACACCAGGGGTATAAGCCCACCCCATGGGTGTGCTATTAAATTTGTAAAATATAAATTTTAATTTGTATTAAAAATTTATGTAGTATTTGTTGATCTAGTGGTAAAGGTGTTGTTTTCTAAACTCAAGATCTTAAGTTCAAATCTTGTACACTTCACTTCATAAATTTTTTTTCTCTTTTTTGATATAAAAAAAATCCACTTGGGAACTTTGTGATTTCTGTTTTAGTGACCCTGGGAACTTTATGTGAGTTCATGAAATGTTATTTAGTGATCCTGTGACTTGAAATGCATTGGAATAAAATAATTGGGAACTTAAAAAAATAAATAAAATAAAATAAAATAAAATCTCAAAATTTAACATTGTAACAAATTAAACTAGCATTTTTATATTTTTTCAATTTTTATTTTAGAAGATTATTGTTATTATCATGTTCAACCAGTCATTTTGAGCATGATAGAAGAACATGATTGAACCTATTAAACTGCACTTCCATTCTGTCCAGTGCTAAATATTTCTTGTAACCAGACTGCTAGGTTGGCGGCGCATCAACATGAAGGATGAAACAAGCTTTAATGCTATATGATAGGTGATATATGCAAAAGGGTAGGTGATTATATGTGATTAAGCTTTAATTTTACCAAAGGAAATGGAAATATATAGCAACTACAAAAGACAAATACACTGACCAATGAAGGAAATGGAAATATAATATATGTTCCACAAGTTTTGGCATATTTTGAAAGTTATTTTCTTAATTTTCTTATTTGGGTTGTCAAAGGAGTTACATATATTTGGCCAGGTCATGAATAAAATCAGAAAAACTTGAAGGTGAGATTTTTCATCAATAATAATATAAGTTTTGTATACTTACATATTTTCTACTTTGTAATTAAAAAGTCAAATTTCTCACTTTTAAAATTATTAGTATCACATCATTTTGTGTGGGATTTAAGTATTGAATATTATTTGTGCACCATATTTCCTTGTTCAATGTTTTCATAAGAAAAATAACTCTACTGTTGAGAAGGAAATCAAGGCTTATAAAACAAGATCATTCATAGAACAAAGCAGAGCACACTCCCATTTCCAAAATTTCAAACACACCTAAAGGGAACAAAAGTCACAAGTACAAGTAATTATCCTATATTTTAGGAATGCCATGTTCATGGTCCCAAAAAATAAAAAATAAAAATAAAAAGCTAACTTCCAGAACTCTCAATTCATGGAAAGGCTTTATTACGACAAAAAAAGATGGAAAAATTCAAATATTGTATCATATACAGATTGGTGACCTTGGCTTATCAAAGGTAAAATAGCACACTTTAGTGTCAGGCGGTGTTCGTAGAACCTTACCTTGGATGACACCTGAACCTTTTAGTGGAAAGAGTAACATGGTTACAGAAAAGGTAAGATTATTCTAAGCTAAGAGGTTTTTAATTTCTTCTTTTAATTTCTTTTGAGTATATTATTATTATTATTGTTATAGCGATCTCGGGTTTCATCCCTTGTTGTACAGTGATCCGGACTTGGTTCCGTAGATGTTAGTAGTTGTTTGTGTCTTGTTTCCGTCCTTCAATACTTGTTATTTGAGTTATAGGATGTGATGGGCAGGTTTGTTACAGGTTGGTTGTGTTTGGGAGCAAATGGTTGCTGCCCAGAATTTTGGTCCTTTGCTCGAGCGAGCAGTTTGTCGCTCAAGCGAGCTCTGTGTTTTAGATTCTTCGCTCGAGCCAGGGTTCCTTCGCTCGAGCGAGAGTTGAGTTTTGTGTCTGGTGGCTCAAGCAAGAAGTCTTGCGCTCGAGCGTGTGTCTGCGTCTCATTTTGACCTGAGAGCTGTGTTTCTTGGCTCGAGAGAGCTTTCCTTCGCTCGAGTGAGCGAGGTGCATGTTTTGGGTTCCTTCGCTCGAGCGAGCATTCTTGCGCTCGAGCGTGCTTCTGGGTTGCAGACCTGAAGCTTCGAATTGTTGGCTCGAGCGAGGCTTTCTATGCTCGAGCGAGAGTTCTTTATGTCTGGTCGCTCGAGCGACCAATCCTTCGCTCGAGCGAGCCTGTGTTATATCAGTAGGCAGCAGCGGGATTGAACATCACTTTTTCATCTTCTTTCTTTCGCAAACCCTAGATCCGACTCTCTCTCTCTCTCTCTCTCTATACTTGTCTTCTCTCTCGGGATTGATCTACCTATAGTGAGTTTCTACCCTAAGTTCTTTGTATAAAAGATAGAGGGTGTTAAGGGCTTTGTTCTAATCTGAAAAATTATGGATTTGAAGCACTTTGGTTTTTGGTCTTCTTCTCCATTTGAGCTCTAACTTCGAGGTAGGGATATCCTACTCTTTCTTATGAGTTTTGTCTTTAAATTTTGACATTTTAATATGTTGGGGGTTGTTTGGTAATTTTGGAAAAGTTTGGGGTCTTTATGTAATTTTTATAAAAGAGGGGTTTTGACTAATTGAACCCATGTGTATATGTAGCATTGAAAATGAAAGTTATGTTATGAGATTGGTGGAAATGGAACCTTAGGGTTGGTATTGTGAATTATGGGAAAATGCCCTAATTAGTTTGATAAATTAATTTGTAAAATTAATTTTGAGAAATGAGAAATTGAATTGAGAATATTCAAATTGGGAAGGTATGAAATTAAATGGTGTAGCTGGAATCAATTTATCGCTCACCTCAGTGTTGTCAAAGTCGCGCCTAGGCGCACGCGTAGGCGCAATGCGAGTCGAGGCGCACCATTTGCGCCTGTACAGGTACAGGCGAGCGCCTTAGCCGCAACTTTAGCAAGGCGAGAGAGGCGCAAGGCCCTCGCCTAGGCGCGACTGAGCGTTTAATCTGTAGATCTGATCTAACGACTCAGATGCGACTCAGATGAACCTTTCGAATGGCTCGTAATCACAGAGGATCAGAACTCATGTACCATATGAGCCAAATAGGACTCAGATTAACCCTAATTGAAGTCGTCTCTCCCTCTTTCGCCTCGCAATCGACTTCGAGCTGCTGGAGCTGGACTTGGTCTGTGACTACGACTGCGACACAAGAGTTGGACTTCGATTGCGACACTGGATCGACTTCGGCTTCGCAGGTTCGACTCTCTCTCCCCTTCTCTTTCTTCTTCGTCTTCGACACTGGTCATTCGACTTTCATTTTTTTTTTTCCTTTTCTTTTTTTTCCTTCGACTTTTAGTTCAGTCCTCTCTTTTTCTTTTTTTTTCCTTTTCTTTTTTTTTCAATTATTTGAGTCTATTTTTTTCCTTCAGTTCAATCCATTCCTTTTCTTCTTCTTTTCAATTATTAATTTTTTCTTCTTCTTTCAACTTTCTTTTTCTTTATTTTTTTTTTCATTAATGATTATTACATTCATTATGATTATTACATAAATAAATAAATTAATTCATACATACATAAATAAAAAAAAATAGATACATTACATTACATTCATTATGATTATATTGAAATTGATTCATTATTATACTGAAATTAATTAATTGATCATTAATTAAAAAAATAGAAAATTGATTCATAAGTTAATTAATTTATACATTCATTACATTACATACATTGAATCATAACATTAATTAATTCATAAATTGATTCATAAGTTAATTAAAAAAATAGAAAATTGATTAATTAATTAGAAAAGATTAATGTGTTGTGATTAATAAGAATTTAATGCGTTGTATGTGTTGTGATTAATGTGATTAATAAGAATTTAATTGATTAATAAAGATTAATCAATTTATCAATTAATCAATTTAGTGTGTTGTGATTAATGTGTTGTGATTAAAAAAATAGAAAATTGATTGATTAATTAATTGATAAATTGATTCATAAGTTAATCAATTTATTAATGTGATGAATTAATAAATTGGTCAAAGTTTTTCTTGAAAAAATAATGTAACATAGGAATGAATGTAATGGAATGTAATGTACATTAATTAATTAATTCATCATTAATTAAAAAAATACTACTAAGTAGAAAATGACATCGGAAAGTAATAGAAAAGATCCGGCGTGGCAGTATGCCCATTTGGTGGAGGAGAATAATTTAAACAAGTTTGAGTGTAATTTTTGTGGTAAAGTATCAAATGGAGGTGTTTATCGGGTGAAACAACACCTTGCGGGAGGTTATAGGAATGTTACTGCTTGCCCGAAGTGTCCTCATGTAAGAGAAGAGATTAGAGAGTTCAAGTCCAAAAAAAAGACACAAAAAGAAGAAATGAACATGTTGCCTGATTTTGATGACATGGACATGGAAGATGAGGATGAAGATGATGATGTTGTTGAGATCAATGTCAATCAACACCGTAAGTTGACAAGTAGTAGCCAAGGTTCATCTAAATCCAAATCCAAATCAAAAATGCCAAAGAGAAAAGGGCCTATGGATGTTTACTTCACACCCAATCCTGAATCAATGGTGAAAAATCGAAGAGACCAAGCAAAAGGGAAACAAATAAAAATTGATGCAAATGACCCTTACAAAAAAGAAATGAGAGCTCTTGCACTGCAAAGATTTGCAAGGTGGATGTATGATGCTGGTATCCCTTTCAATGCAGTAAATTATGAGAGTTTTGGACCAATGATTGAAGCCATTGGCCAATATGGTCCTGGTATGAAGCCACCGACTTACCATGAAGTGCAGGTTACCCAACTCAAAAAAGAAGTGAAACATACTGAAGATTTGATGAAGTATCATAAAGAGGATTGTGCAAAATACGGGTGTTCCATAATGGCTGATGGTTGGACTGATAAGAGAGGAAGGACATTGATTAATTTTTTAGTTAATTGTCCAAGAGGAACCATGTTTGTTGAGTCGGTTGATGCTTCTAGCTATTCAAAGGATGGGCAAAAGCTATTTGAATTACTAGACATGTTTGTGGAGAAAGTTGGAAAAGAGAATGTGGTGCAAGTTATCACTGATAGCGCTGCAGCTAATTTGTTGGCGGGTAAGAATATTTCCTCATTCCTTACATCAAAATTGTTTACTCATAGTTTGTTTTGTATTTAAAATTTAAAAACTTGAAAATAATAATTCTTCATTATTGTTACATTATAGGGAGGTTTTTGGAAGCTAAGTATGAACACTTGTATTGGACACCACGTGCTGCTCATTGTTTGGACTTGATGTTAGAAGACATTTTCAAGATACCTAGACTGAAAAAGACATTTGAAAGGGGTATTGCAGTACATGGCTACATTTACAATCGACCTACGTTGCTAAACATGATGAGGTGCTATACAAATTTGAAGAATTTGATCAAGCCTGCAAAAATTAGATTTGCAACCGTTTTTTTGACTTTGTCTAGGATGCATCAACAAAAAAACAATTTGAGAAAGATGGTCACCTCCGAAGACTGGACCTCAAGCAAATGGGCAAATGGGCAAAGGAGCCACAAGGTAAAAGAATGGCACAAACTTTGTTGATGCCTTCATTTTGGAATACTGTTGTGTTTGCCCTTAAGGTCTCGGGTCCTCTTGTCAAAGTGCTTAGATTGGTTGATACTGAGAAGAAACCTCCCATGGGATACATTTATGAGGCAATGGATAGGGCAAAAGAATGCATTGCAAGTTCATTTGATCATAAAGAAGAGAAGTATAATGAAATCTTTGAAATCATCGACAAAAGATGGGATGTCCAATTACATCGGCCTTTACATGCAGCTGCGCACTTTCTTAACCTAGAATTCTTTTACCCAAAAGCGTTAGGTGCAAAGAGATCATGAAGTGATGAATGGGTTTTATGAATGCATGTAAAGGTTGGTCCCGGATGTCACTGTTCAAGATTTGATCACTAATGAGATGAGTATTTATATGAAGGCTGAGAGTCTTTTTGGCAAGTCTGTTGCGATTAGGCAAAGAAATACAAGAGCACCATGTAATATATTATAGACTCATAGAGTTTATTTTTAGTAATACTTTTAGTAAAACTTAATATTTGGTAACAATTATTTCTAACTAGTGGATTATCGCAGCTGATTGGTGGGCATCATATGGTTCTTATACTCCAAACTTGCAAACTTTTGCCATAAAAGTCCTTAGCTTAACATGTAGTTCATCGGGTTGTGAACGAAATTGGAGTGTATTCGAACATGTGAGTATTTAACATTCTAACTAATTTTTTGTTGAATTCAAATTTTTTTTTTCTCATTATATATAATTTAATATCTTTTTAATAATTGCAGGTTCATAGCAAGAAAAGAAATAGATTGGAACAACAACGTCTCAATGATTTAGTGTTTGTCAAATATAATAGAACATTGAGATTTAGGTATGACATGCGCAACACTCTTGATCCCATATCTTTGCAAAATATTGATGAAAGCAATGAGTGGTTGCTTGGGAGGGGATGGATGGAGAATCAGATGAAGATAATGAGCTTGTGTTTGATGATGATGATGGCTTGACGTGGGCCACTGTTGCTAGAGCTTCTGGAGTAGAAGAAAGTAGCCATGCAAGTAGAGCAACAAGTTCACGCTCAAAGGCACAACCGAGGATATCTAAATCATCAACATTGACTCCACTTCAATTAATAGATGAAGAGGAAGCGGGCTCAGATGACACAGAGGAGGAAGATGTTGAGGGATACAAATCAACTGATGGAGAAGAAGATGATAGTTTGCTTGCCATTGATGTTGAGGATGATGATTGACTGACACCGACCTAACCTACCCTTTCTTTTGATATTGATGTTTTTAAGTGTTAAGTGAAGACATATATTAATATTTGTTGGATATTTATGTTTTGGATGTTTAGTGTTTATGTTTTTATTTTATTGAATGTGGATTATTTGATCTTTGAAAATTGGAATGTTATGTAATATGCACTTTCATGGCTTTGAGAATTATTCTATATTTTGTCTTGAATCTTGATTACTTTTTATTTTTTAAAAAATTGTCTTACTACTATGAATGATTAGTCTATACTAATTTTTCTATATTTTACGAATATTGTGCGCCTTACTTCAATAAAGCCCGCGCCTCGCCTTGTGCCTTGCGCCTAGGCTCCAAGAGACCTTTGGCGCCTTAGTGCGCCTTGAGCATTTAAAAACACTGGCTGACCTAGTTGAAATGTGGATATTATATCCTTTAACGTATTTATCAGGAGCGTCTGGTTCTAGACAGAGGCAGAGTTTTCAGCCGGCACAGTCAGTTCAGGCCTCGAGGGCCAATCCAGGAGCTTCGTCGTCCCAGTCTGTACAATAATTGTTTGCTCCGAGGGGTGAGCAGGTAGAGCAGAGACCTTCAGGGCGTGTGTATGCTGTTACTGCGCAGGACCTTGTACCTGCTCCAACAGTTGTGAGAGGTACCTTCTTGTTTTGCAACTCGGTTGCTAATGTGTTGATTGATACAGGTGCATCTCATTCTTTCATATCTGTTGTATTTGCATCTGTTTTGGGATTGGAGTTGGCACAGTTAGCATCTCCTATATGTGTTGTATCATCTGTTGGGGGTGAATTGATTTTGAAACAAGGATGTAGAGGCTGCGATACAGAGGTTGCTGACCGCTGGCTTGCGTTTCCTTTTGTAGTTATGCCTATGTCGGGTTTTGATGTTATTTTGGATATGGACTGGGTATCGTCATATCGGGTAGTTATTGATTGTTACCGCCAGAGGGTCATAGTATGTACCCCGAGCGGGGAATGTTTCCATTTCTTGGGGGATCGGGTTGGTAGTGTTTTACCACCGGTGTATGATCCGCGAGGGCAGAGTGAGCTTAGTGGTCTTCTTACTAGCCTTTTGAGTAGTGAGTGTGATGAGACCCAGATTATATTGCCGAGGGTGGTGTGTGAGTATTCGGATGTCTTTCCCGAGAATCTTGTTAGCTTACCACCTCACCGAGAGATAGAGTTCTCTATTGATCTAGTGCCCGGCACGGCGTCGATTTCTATGGCACCTTATCATTTTGCCCTAGTCGAGTTGGTTGAGTTGAAGATTCAGCTCCAGGAGTTGTTGGATAAGGGCTTTATTCGCCCTAGTGTTTCGCTGTGGGGAGCACTGGCCCTCTTTGCTAAAAAGAAAGATGGTGCCTTGAGACTTTGTGTCGACTACCAGAAGTTGAATCGGGCTACAGTCAAGAATAAGTACCCTATGCCCCGTATTGATGATTTGTTTGACCAGTTGAAGGGTTCCCGTTGTTTCTCTAAGATAGACTTGAGATCGGGTTACCACCAGTTGAGGGTCAGGGAGGAAGATATTCCCAAGACGACATTCCGTACGCGGTATGGCCATTATGAGTTTTTGGTGATGCCTTTTGGGCTCACCAATGCACCGGCAGTGTTTATGGATTAGATGAACCAAATATTCTGGGAATTCTTAGATCTCTTTGTAGTCGTCTTCGTGGACGGCATTCTGATTTATTCACCTTCTGAGGAGGAGCACGAAGAACACTTGAGAGTGGTGCTTGAGTTACTTAGAGCCCATAGGCTGTATGCCAAGTTTGGGAAGTGTGAGTTCTGGCTAGGAGAAGTCAAGTTCTTAGGCCATGTGGTTTTCGGAAAAGGGGTGTCTGTTGATACATCCAAGATTGAGGCAGTGCAAGATTGGGCACAGCCTAAGAGTGTGTTTGAGATCCGCAATTTTCTAGGATTAGCTGGGTATTGCCGCCGGTTTGTGAAGGATTTCTCCAGGCTAGCTTCGCCATTGACTAGATTGACTCGGAAAGGAGTCAAATTCGTGTGGAGTGAGACTTGTGAAAAATCGTTCCAAGAGCTGAAAATTAGATTGACCACCGCTCCGATCTTGATTATTCCGGAGAGAGGGTTGGGTTATGCGTTTATTGTGATGCCTCACGAGAGGGTTTGGGTTGTGTGTTGATGCAACAGGGGAAAGTGGTAGCCTATGGCTCACGTCAGCTGAAAATACACGAGAAGAATTACCCTACACATGACTTAGAACTAGCAGCTGTGATCTTTGCCTTGAATATCTGGAGGCACTACCTTTATGGGGAGAGATTCGAGGTGTTCTCGAATCATAAGAGTCCGAAATATCTGTTTACACAGAAAGACTTGAACTTGAGGCAGAGGAGGTGGATGGAGTTTATTGAGGATTACGACTTCGAGTTGCATTATCATCCGGGAAAGGCCAATATTGTGGCTGATGCCCTTAGCAGGAAATTCATTAGTGATATAGCTTGTATAGCCATCCGGGAGTGGGAGATGTTGGGGGCACTTGGGGAGTTTGATTTGCTTCTGGGCGAATCTGTTGAGGCTGCGGCCTTGTTTTCTGTTGTTGCGCAGCCTACACTTGTGACTAGAGTGTTAGAGGCACAGAGAGGTGACCTTGAGGTAGAATCCCTCCGAGAGAAGATCTCTAGTGGAAAGGTTGAGAAGGGTTTGACGGTGTATCCCGACCTGAGTGTGAGATACTGAGACCGTTTGTTTGTGCCGGAGTCTTGTCGAGAGAAGGTACTTCGAGAGTTTCATCATTCATGCCTTGCGGTGCACCCGGGAGGCACTAAGATGTATCGAGATTTGGGTCGCTAGTTTTCGTGGAGGGGTATGAAGAGAGATGTGGTTGTTTTCGTGTCTAAGTGCCTTACTTGTCAGCAAGTGAAGGCCGAACATCAAAGGCCAGCGGGTTTGTTACAACCCTTGCCTATTGCCGAGTGGAAGTGGGAGTATGTCACTATGGACTTCGTTGTAGGTCTTCCGAGGACTCAGCGGGGTAGTGATGCTGTTTGGGTGGTTGTAGACCGGTTGACTAAGTTGGCGCATTTTATCCCTATGCGCGTGAGAGATTCGGTAGACCATCTTGCCGACTTGTATGTTCGGGACATAGTGAGGTTGCACGGGGTCCCAGTGTCGATCGTCTCAGATAGAGATCCACGCTTTACTGCTAGGTTGTGGCAGAGTTTGCAGAGTGCCTTGGGCACTAGGTTGACCTTTAGCACGGTTTATCATCCTCAGACTGATGGGCAGTCCGAGCGTACTATTCAGATCCTTGAGAATATGCTTCGAGGTTGTGTCCTTGACTTTAGTGGGACGTGGGAGAGGCATTTGCCCTTGGTGGAGTTTGCCTATAACAACAGTTTTTAGTCTAGTATCGGTATGGCACCGTTTGAGGCCTTGTATGGCCGACCGTGTAGGTCTCCGGTTTGTTGGGCCGAGGTGGGTGATGCACCTTTGTTGGGCCCGGAGTTGGTGAGGGAAACGACGGAGAAAGTTGAGCTTATCCGTAGGAGGCTTGTTACAACCCAGAGTCGTCAGAAATGTTATGCTGACCGTAGGAGAAGACCTTTGGTATTTGAGGTGGGTGATCATGTCTTTCTGAAGATATCACCTAGGCGGGGATTAATGAGATTTGGTAAGAGAGGGAAGTTATCCCTCCGGTTTATTGGCCCTTTTGAGATCCTTGAGAGGATTGGCGAGGTTGCCTATCGTTTAGCTTTGCCGCCGCAGTTGTCCGGAGTTCATAACGTGTTTCATGTGAGTATGCTTCGGAAGTATGAGTCGGATCCATCGCATGTGTTGGATTGGACTGACTTAGAGGTAGATAAGGATGCCTCGTATGAGGAGAGGACGATTCGGGTCTTGGATAGGCGGGATCAAGTCTTGCGAGGCAAGACCATTCCCTTGGTAAAAGTTTTGTGGAAACATCACGGAGTGGAAGAAGCCACTCGGGAACGTGAGTTGGAGGTCCGAGAGAAATATCCGGATCTATTTGTAGATGTTTGAGCATATGTTGTATATCTTGTTGTATTATTGAACCTTAAGAGTATTGAATATATCTTAGGTTGTAAAACATTACATATGTTTTGGTTTAATAGAAGTTTAATGTAACATTGCATATGTTGAATGTGTTGTAGAACTAGAAATATATCATTAACTTTAATTATGATATGAAATTGTAGATCACGTATGTTGGAAATTGTTGGATTGGAAAGAAAATGCATAATGATAATGCAGGTTGAAATATATGTTGTTTTACATATTGTAAAATGCCTCTTGATAAGAGATGGAATGACCGGTAATGGGTCAAGTTGTTGATTATTGAAATGTCATATTGTTGGAAATTGAGAAAAACCTGTTTTTGAAAACTTGTGCTTAATTTCGAGGACGAAATTCTTTAAAGGGGGGAGGTTATAGCGATCCCGGGTTTCACCCCTTGTTATACAGTGATCCGGACTTGGTTCTGTAGATGTTAGTAGTTGTTTATGTCTTGTTTCCGTCCTTCAATACTTGTTATTTGAGTTATAGGATGTGATTGGCAGGTTTGTTACAGGTTGGTTGTGTTTGGGAGCAAATGGTTGCTGCCCAGAATTTTGGTCCTTCGCTCGAGCGAACAGTTTGTCGCTCGAGTGAGCTCTGTGTTTTAGATTCTTCGCTCGAGCCAGGGTTCCTTCGCTCGAGCGAGAGTTGAGTTTTGTGTCTGGTGGCTCGAGCGAGAAGTCTTGCGCTTGAGCATGTGTCTGCGTCTCATTTGGACCTGAGAGCTGTGTTTCTTGGCTCGAGCGAGCTTTCCTTCGCTCAAGCGAGCGAGGTGCATGTTTTGGGTTCCTTCGCTCGAGCAAGCATTCTTGCGCTAGAACGTGCTTTTGGGTTGCAGACCTGAAACTTCGAATTGTTGGCTCGAGCGAGGCTTTCTACGTTCGAGCGAGAGTTCTTTGTGTCTGGTCGCTCGAGCGACCAATCCTTCGCTCGAGCGAGCCTGTGTTATATCAGTAAGCAGCAGCGGGATTGAACATCACTTTTTCATCTTCTTTCTTTGGAAAACCCTAGATCCGACTCTCTCTCTCTCTATACTTGTCTTCTCTCTAGGGATTGATCTACCTATAGTGAGTTTCTACCCTAAGTTCTTTGTATAAAAGATAGAGGGTGTTGATGGCTTCGTTCTAATCTGAAAAATTATGGATTTGGAGCACTTTGGTTTTTGGTCTTCTTCTCCATTTGAGCTCTAACTTCGAGGTAGGAATATCCTACTCCTTCTTATGGGCTTTGTCTTTAAATTTTGACATTTTGATATGTTGGGGGGTTGTTTGGTAATTTTGAGAAAGTTTGGGGTCTTTATGTAATTTTTATAAAAGAGGGGTTTTGACTAATTGAACCCATGTGTATATGTAGCATTGAAAATGGAAGTTATGTTATGAGATTGATGGAAATGGAACCTTAGGGTTGGTATTGTGAATTATGGGAAAATACCCTAATTAGTTTGATAAATTAATTTGTAAAATTAATTTTAAGAAATGAGAAATTGAATTGAGTATATTCAAATTGGGAAGGTATGAAATTAAATGGTGTAGTTGGAATCAATTTATCTCTCACCTAGTTGAAATGTGGATAGTATATCCTTTGACACATTTATTTTCTGTTTAGAAATAACTGCTTTGGGCTATCGGTGGAGGATAGTCTTGATTGTTGTAGACAATGCATGAGGATTAGGTGAATTAAAACTAATCATTTGAATGTGTCATCGAATATGACGATTGGAATAATATATTAACCTTCTGTATTGATTAATTATGTATATGATCTGTGTTTATATACATTGTGTTGTATGGGAGGAGATAGGAGATGTACTCCACGGTTTAGGGGAAGATGGGGGATGGACCTCTAAACCGGATTTTGTTGACATTGATACAGCACTAAAATGTGTATCATTTGTGAAGTATGGAAGTGTTTTTACATGTTTTGATACAGCACTAAAATGTGTATCATTTGTGAAGTATGGAAGTGTTTGGTTTGAGGTTGATACAACACCAAAATGTGTATCTATTATGAAGTATGAAAAGATTATTATGAGTTGATATCTCACTTGAATTGGAAGTATTGTTAATAGGAGATGCAATCTCTGTCGAATTATCTAGCCAGGTCCTAAGCCACGTATATGAAATGAATTGTTAAGTAAAGGAAAATGAAATGTAACATGGACATAATTGTAGTGGAATTGAAATGTGATATGAATGGATGTATAAGTGTTGACCATCTATTAACTGCTAAACTTTTAGTCATTGTTTATAGTTGGTTTAGTATATTTCTACTGGGCTGTGGCTCACCCTATATGGGACATCATTTTCAGGTACAGATGGTATGCCACCTCCAAGGACATAGCTTCGGGAGTTAGAGGCAGACAGACTTTTTGGTTGTTTTGCTTTATTTTTGATGTATTACATGTAAATTAAAGCCAAGGGCTTAATATGTATTTGAGTTAGCACTCACTTCTTGTATCCAAGTGTTGGCTTAGAAAGTTGTAAGCCCATAGGACATTTACTTTTGATGTCAACATGTAATACTTTTGTAAAGAACTACTCTGATGAATAGAAAGATGTTATTTCTCTTATATAAATGCATGTCATGAATGATGGGTGTTATGTATTATTTTGAGGGCGTTACAATTATTTCTTTTTTTATGCATTGTAGATTGATGTTTACTCATTTGGGATTGTCATGTGGGAATTACTCACAGGAGACAAACCTTATGCGGATATGCATGGTGCTTCTATAATAGGTATGCACTGATATATCTATCTAGTTTTGTAACAACTAGTATAATTCCTATCTTCTTTTTTTCCTCATCCTTTTTCTTCTTTTATTTATCTATATACATATACTAAAAAAGAAGATAAGAATTATACTCTTGGTTACAAGATTAAATATAATTCTTATTTTTTTTTAAGTAGTTACTTAAAAAGGACATTCTTGCTATAATCTTTTAGAAGTCTCGCAGTCAGTATTTTCGTTTTGTTTTAAGTTAAAAAGTTGAGTGCTTGGTAAACAACAGAACTTGACATAATGGATGGTTTTAGTGCTAATTTCTGTTTAAGATGTTTTTTATTCACATAGGATATTGGAATTTTCCCTTTGTTTTCTATTTGATCCCTCAAATATAACTCATTGAACTGGTTCCACTCTCTTTAATTTTATTGTCCCCTTTTATATTTTAATTCTTATGCGAGAGATATTTTGGGACAGGAAAAAATTGTATTGATGTTGCATAGGTGAACTTTTCAATTGTTGTTCTATCCAAGCATATAAAAAATTTAATGTTTTATCCTAACTATGTATGCTTAAAAATTTACAGTGTAGAATGGTGATAGGTTTGGAACCAATTTGCCTTTAGTTAAGTTTTTTGTAATCTTGTTCGGTAGATTAGTAAATTCTGTCACTAGGGTTCACTTTGCTTCCATTATATTTGAGGTGCACTTGATTAGAGGCCTATTGATGTAGGATGACTTTACGAAACTTGGGTTAATGCTGCCTACACTAAGGCCTCGTTTGGCAAGAGGCTATTTTAGCCAATTAGTCAAAAAGTTACTAAATTAGCCAAAAAGCCAACAACCCATACCAAAAAGTCAAAGATTCTCTTTTCTCTCTACTTTTTGCACATCTTTTCATAATAGTATATACTATAGAATTGTCTTTTGGGTCATGTGCTATACTTGGTGGGACAATAAAATTTGGCACAGCATTGTGGTGGTTTTTTTTTTTTTGTTCAATTGGTGGTATGCCAAATTTAGCTTTGACACATATTTGAGTTGCTATGAGGTCTAAATCAAGAAAGTTCACCCTATATGAACCCAGTTTTTAGGAATGGTTTGGGATGATCTAAATAAGTGTACTTTTTGACTTTTTGTGAAATATGAGTTGGGTTGATGTGGTAGAGAGGTGATGTGACTTAAATAGGATAGTGACTCTTTGATTTTTTGACTTTTTTAGAGTATCCCAAACAAGGCCTAAGTCAGTCTAGTTGTTTTTGGCTGGCATTGGCAGCAGAAACTTGGCATAGATAGATAGATAGATATATGAACCCATTTTTCATTCTCTCTGAAAAAGGTTCATTCCATCTTTCTTATCAATTTCTCAAGATTTGTAAGTCAATTGTAGTTTCATTTCTTAGTTTTTATCTTCTCAAGATTTCTTTGGTTTTTGAGATCTGATCTATACTTGTGTGTGAATGATGGGTTGTTGTTGTGGTGTTTAATTTTTTTGTTGAAATGATCTGGTTTGAGGCAATGACTTATAGAAGACAATAGGCAACATGTACTTTCTTACCTGGAATTGATGGTTAACATAAGGTCAATTCCGGATTTATTAATACCCATTAGTATCATGGATTCATTTGTTTGGCTGAAAATTTGTTCTAAATAAAATAATAATAATAATAACATAAAGGGAAAAAAAAATTATACTTTATACTAAATTTTGTAGTTACTTAAGAATGAAGGATGACCAATAAGAAGAGAGTGGACAATGAATGAGGCTTGACAAATTGGTTGGGTTAATTTGGAATCAAATATTCCTGGGAACTTTTAAAAAATGGAATGCTAAGAAAAATATTTCACAAAAATCCTGACTTTTAAGAATAATTGAAACATATGTTAGACTTATTTTTCTTGAGGAAAAAAAAAACACACTAAAATCATTTAAAAAAGAGAAACACATCCAAAGTGTTTGGCTTTTATAAGAAGAGGTTCCAGAGTGGAAAGATAAACAGAATTAAGGTATATTGTTTGGCTAAGGGCGACTGGTGAGACCCTGTACTCAATCCTTTTTAGGTAGGTCTCCAATTGATACCCTTTTAGCATTTTGCCTGTCAAGATAATATCGTGTTGTCTTGTAGGTCTCCAATTGATACCCTTTTAGCATATCTTTTCTCTGTGTGTGTGTGTGGGTGGGTGTGCATGTATGTATTTACTTGTCTGTGGTTTCTGATTTATAAATGAACAAGAGTTATGTACAATAAGAAAATGCCTTGGGACTTGGATGTAGTAGATGCTACAACTTACTCTTTAAATGCAACCAATGCTGTTGTGACTATGTATATTCATTATTCATATACCTCTTGTAGGGATGAATCACTGCTATGTCAAGGACTTGCATTGAATGATGACTTGCAAGGACTACTAGCCAAACATGAATCTATTGTCTCAGGAATTTCTGCGAAAACAGAGAAACCGAAGCCTGGACCTGTTCAAGCACTGGTGAATCTGGATGCTCCTCTAATTTATATTCTTTGCAGTGTTTGTGTTGGCTAATATCCTTGATACATCAGTTATTGTTGGAATTGGTCTTTTGAAAATTATATTAGGTATGGTTCATAGATATCAAAACATTAGTGTTTATGTTTTGCACAATTGTTTTTAGAAAGCCAATGGCTAGACAATTGGGAAATTAGAATTAACTTTGGAAGACTTATGCAATGGATATCTAGAACTTGAGTGAGTTTATTCTCATTCTAGAACAGATGCTTTGACTTTCTGTTTTGTTGAATTAGTGGGGTTCTTTCCAAGGATTTTGTATTTTTCTGTTGCTGTATTCTGGAACTTACATTCTACAGGAGAGAGAGTCAATTTTTGTTTTAAGACAATTCTAATTGCCTTCTATATTAGATTGTTGTTGGATGATGTGAAACTGTGCATGAGATGTTGGATTTTTTTAAAGGATGTTGTATTGGGTACTATTATAGATGTGAGGGAATAGTAATCTCATAGAAATATATGTCTATACAAAATTTTATTCATTATTGCTATTTTATAGGTATTTTTTAAAAGTTAAATCTCACAGAATTAGTAGTTAAGTTTATTTTTATTTTTGTTAAATTGAATCTATTGCGGCATTTTTCCAACGCCACTATAGTTATATTTTTAAAATAATAAAAAAGTTATTACGACGTTTTTGAAGTGTCGCTGAATACTTATGTGACATCATCTTACCATTGCTGCCACATTTAGTGGCGTTTATGCCGCCACCTATTCTAATTTCACGATGTTTTTAAAGCGCCATAAACTTATAGCGACGGCCGTGTCGTCGACGTTTGGTGATAAGCCTCACAAAAAGAATTGGCGGCGTTTTTCAGACATATAGCGGTGTTTTTAAAACGCCTCTAAAAATCGTTTTTCCAACAGTCTATAAAAGAAGCCTCGCTTCCATGTTTAACAAGACCAGCAAGCCACAGATGATGGCATTTTTTAGTTGAATTGTGCTTGTTGATGGATGAACAACACCAAGGATATTTAAAATGGTTGGTTTACAACCTCCAACATCTACCTTTTGGGTTAAATAGAGAAGAGAAACATGAAGTATAGAACATCTCAACCATAAAATTAATCAACTGGCAAATCTGGAAATGATTGTACGAGGTAGCATTCAGAAGCGCCATTGAAAAATAACCAAAAAGTTGAAGACTACAATTTCATCAAAACAAGCAATGTGCACACATGCAATTCAAGATTTTCTAGCAAAACCCCACAATTTCATCAAAGTTGAAAATTAAACACAACCAGTAGGTGAATAAAAATAACTAGAGAATCTAATTCTACCACTACCTCTTCTTCAAGTTTTAGTTTGTGATGTGCTTGATCAACCTCAGTGTCCATCTTAGTTTTCACCCGCTTCCACTTCTGCATCACCACAAAGTGAGAAAGAAGAAAAAGAACTTGCAAGAATAGCTTCATCAATAGGTAAAATTAGCTTAATCATTATATACAAATCATAACTACAAAAAAGTACTTATTTCTTTTCCATCTCTAGGCTTTGGCTGATGCATTGTCCTTACAGCAAGTGTCATGAAAACTAAAATATAAGGGGAATGTAAAGAAATTCTAATCAATCCCAAGAAATGAAAAGCATACCCTTTTCAGTTGTTCTTTTGGTGGTAAATTACAAATATCCGTATGACGTTTACTTAAAATATAAATTGTCCCTATAATTTGAAAAATTAGAAATACTTCTTATTTGAATATTTTTTTAACAAAATTAACTGAAAATGTGAAATTCCTAACTGCTCTCCTATATAATAAAATTACCTAAATTATTAATTAAAATATATTTCTAACATCATTAAAAATTATTAATTGACTTGAAAATTTATTAATAAAATAGGTCATTTGTTATAAAATTAGAAACTTCAATAGGCAGAATATAATTTTCAAAACTACATAAGACAATTTGTATTTTAAACAAATCTCGAGAATGTGTATTTGTAACTTACCCTTCTTTTAAGCTTTATTTTTGGAGTAATTATCTTATCCTCTGGAAATTCCACATTGGTTGTGTGCCCAACCAATTGTAAGAGGCTAAATGAATAGATGACCCAAATAACAAAGAGATGGTAGACAAATTATAACAATTCATTAGTCGGACACATCAACACGTGATTACTGGATAATTTCTGCTACTTTTGGCCTTGAATTTGCTGCCAAAATTAACTTACATGATATTAGTACATTTATAATACATAAATGATAGAAACCCTACTTTTTCTTGACCCTCACAACCTCACGGACACATGTCATTGAGTGGTAGAAGGAAAAAAAAATAAAAAACAAAAAGTTTGTCAATCCCAATATATTGAGGTGGTAGGGTCAAGAAAAAAGGAGTCTCAACCTTTTCCGTTTACTATATTGAATCTCTCTCTAACAGATATGCTTGCTAGCGCCCACACAAACAGACTTATGATTGAAAAAATACATGAACATATGATTAAACACCGCAAAATATCTTCAAATAACCAAAAAAAAAATAATAATAATTTTTAAACCAAACCCTAGAATCTAGATGTGAGAGCACACCTTCGCAGATCAGTACACCACAGAGAGCGTCAAGTGACGATCGTTTTATACTAAAGGTGCTATTGAACGAGGAGAGGGAGAGAGGGTTTTTGGAAGGAAAGTTTCAGTCCAAATCGAGAATGAGAAATTGGTGGGGTTAGCGTGGGTTTGCTTATTTATATTTGTTTTGGATACAAAAAAATAAATAAATAAATAAAATAAAATAAAATAAAAAAACACAGTTTATTGGCTTATTGGATTAATCATATCATTTTTCTACCTTTTTTTTATAGGTATTTTTAGTAATTAATGAAAATTCAAAAATAAAATAAAAAAATAAGTCGTGTTTATAAGCAAACAAGTGTACTTATTTAAGTAGTTCTCAAACAAGGCTTTAATTATGCTTTTCTCTATGATCCAAATTTTACTTTATATTTTATAATTTTAATTTTGAATAATTTAATTATTTTTTGTTTTTAATTTAGTTATTTCATCAAAATTAGAGATTAATATTAACAATTTTGAGACATTTGTTAATTTTTTAAGATGTACATATGTATACAAAATTAATAAAAATTTTAAATAAAATAACAAAATTGAAATTAAACTTGAAAGTGGACTAGTGTCTAAATTAATTTTAACTTTTAATTTGCATGAAATAATTAAATTAAAATTAGATCTAAAATGTACAAATTAAAACTATAAAAATTAAAGTAAATTTTGGATTGAAATATAAGGATGAACAATGTTATAAACCATTTTATTTTTAATTGCAAACCACAAATCATAAGAAAGATGAGGGAGGTAATTAGGTACATTGGTTTTGGACCAAAATTTGTCAACGACTGATGAGTGATTGGAAGTTCTATTTTTTTAAAAAAAAAATTTATATGGTGTAAGTACCAATTTTACACGCCTCCAATTAATTTTGAGATGTTAAAATTAACGAACAAATAAATTTTCAATAATTTCAAAATTTTAAATTCTATTATATTTTTTTATTATGAATTAAAAGTCCCAAACTTTTTCATTTATATTTCTCTTACATCATTTTATTTATTTATTTATTTTACCACGACCACTATCATTATGAACCATCGCTACCTAGCCACCATCTATTTTCTCCACCAACCACCACCACCACCATTTTTCACATCTTTCAGACTTTTTATTCATCTACAAATCTAAATATATATCTGTGGGTGTTGATTTTTTATCACACAACCAAACGGAGAACTCAGTTAGAGAGCACCGGCAGAACAGATTAAGCCCAAACAACTTGTCATAGAAAGATAAGAATCCGACAGTGGTTCGTCCACCCAGGGACACTCCGACGATCAAGTCAGTAATCAAATATCTCTCAAAGATAGCAAATTGTGCTTAATCTCACAAGAAAGAACTTACTGCTCACAGTATATCACACCTCAGACCCACTAGGGTGCCCTGCTTTTATAGCCAACACTGACCTGATCCCTGTAGAAACCTTATTTCAGTGGACTGAGGCTCAATACTCATCCTAGACTCTCAGCTAGATAGGGATAAATTCTTTATGAGCTTTATCCTTTTCCTAACTGAGACCCTCCCTTGTTCTAGGACTCTTGCCCTTTATCTGCTCCTCTCGGATTCCAGTATCTCTGCAGATAACCTAGGCCTAGCCAAGATCACTTCGGCATCATGACCAAGCCACCTTGGCTAACACTTCAGCGTCACCTTGGTCACGTATTGTTATTCATAAAATATGTCCCTACAACTACCCCTAGGTTCTATTACGTCGGCAACCTGATGTGATAGAACCTACATCGTTTGTTCATATAGCATATCGGCTGAAATTTCATTCCTTCTCCACGACCGAGATCATTATTTGTCAACTTCAAGAACCCAGGACACAACTATCTATCTTTATCAAGGATCAAGAACCAAGAGTCAAGTTCTTTAAATATCTTAACTGAGATCCCTCCTCTAGCCGAGGTTATGGTATCATTATTTCAAGAATCCCAAAAGTTCTAACTGTGCATGAGTTGTCACACACAGCCGTCCCAACCATTTCCTCCAGGCGTTCATTTCTCATTGGTTCGTACCTGGCACGCGTCACTAGGTCGCGTCGCTTCTGCACAATCGGCCTGAAAAGTATGTCGTCCAAGGCGTCTCATTATGTTTTGCCGCCTTTTCGTATATTTGACAGAACTCTTCCTTCTCTTGCCATCTTTTCACTTTTGCAATTCACAATTTCTCTCGTTTCTCAGACTCTCTCTCTCTAAACATTCCCAAACCTTTATTGTTGTTTCTTTGAGCTCTGTAACTACTCTGTTCACCTCTTCTGGCGAGCTCCTCGTTTGTTCGTTTCCAGTCATTCAAGTTGTCTAACTCCGGCGAACCTCACATCGGTACCTATAATTTCGGCCCCAATCGGTGAGTTCATAATTTCTTTCAATTCCAGTCGTCCATTGTTTTATTTTCATGAATTGGCCATATGTCTGTTTTGCATCTGTTGTCATTGAATCTGTTTTCATTGTTGTATTTTGTTTCTAGCTTCATGTTTTGGTTGTCATTTCTTGTTTTTGAATCTGTTATATGCATTGTATTGCTTATGGCTCTTGCATACTGCCTTGCACACACTCCACTCAATGTTTTGTGTAATTTTCCATATTCTTGGATCTTTGTTGCTTTCGTGATTCTAAATCATGCTTTTTTTTCTATTTTTCTTGCTTTGCTTCCAGATTCTTGCATTTGATTCTTGTTTCTGTATAAACTTAGGTTTGGGACTTGATAGTGTAGCTCGACTTTTTCGCACCCCCTTTCAGAAGCTCGAATGTAAGCCCTACAGTTCAAACTCCTGCAGTTCTGAATCTAATCTC